TGTCTATGGAAGTCCACGTTGTCGTATAGTTCCTAATTTTAAGATTTTAATATAATTTTTACGGATTTTTTTTTGAAAATTACCAAAATTGTTCCAAATGGTGGAGGGCATTTAAAGTTCGGCCCGGCCGAACTTACAGCTTTCTTACTTGTTTATATATAAGTAATACTATATATTTGTCGGCACATCGATTGGTACTTAATAAATTGTTTTTGTGTTGCTCAAGATTTCGAAATATTCCTATAAAATATTAGAGTCTGCTTTTTGGTATTTGTAAGCCTTGCACATTTTTGGGGAATGAATGCACTTTAATTTGGTTTTCCGAATTCAAACCAATAAAAAGCAAATTCTCAAAGAATTTTTAATATGGTAACAGGTTTTGGTCTTTTTCCCACATTTGGAAATGTATTTTTATATTTTTAACTATTTGGTCATAATTTCACTTTTCCTCATAGTTATACATATAAATGGCTTTCTCTTAACTTATTTCGCAAAATAATGATTAACTTTGGTCCAAAGTTTGAGACTTAGACTCGGAATTAGCAAACGAAGAAGAAATAAAAACGAAATACAATGGTTTGTTGACGTATGGCATATTGTGTAGTTTTTTATACCCTATGGCTATGGCTAAACGTCCCTAGTCGAAATAACGGTTATAGACCCTAGGTCTCTTTGAACCAATTCCTAAAATTTGCGTCAGTGCTAGGTCAGGTGCGAAAATGAACAATATCGATCCACTCTATCAAGTATCTCCCCCACAAAGGGTCAACATTTTGAATTACAACTCTCTTAAAATATGATATAGCAGTCCAATTGTCTTCAAATGTCACACATCCCAATATTTTTGTTTACCCAAAGTCTGGTGTGAAGATGGTATATGGTCCACTCCTTCTGGTACCTCCCCTACAAAAATTTTGAGTATCCATGAAGCTAAAAAAAAGATGGTAGAGATCGAACCTCCCCTACATGGGGTTCAAGATTTTGAAAAACAAAACGCTCAAAGATAGCGAAATAATAATCAAATTAATCCATCCATCCATCTCTTCAAATTTCCCACACACAAACATTTTTGCCAACACAAGTTCTGTTGTGAAGATGATGTACATCTACCAACCCCTTCTGGTACCTCACCCACAAAGGGTCGCAATTTCGCAATACTTATATCTATCATCACTAATTTTATATTATGGTCTCTGTTGGTATCTGGAATTGAGAAATGGAGGTGGTTTTGGAAATGTGTATTTTATTTTCCGAAAAGTAGCCAATAATACTAAATTTTGTATTGGGTGATGAAATGAATTAAATTGAATTGATGAAATGAATTAAATTGAACTAAATTTGGTATTGGGTGAAGGGATAGGGCTGGAATCCTAAAATTTGAATTTTGGGGTCTCTAGTTGAGGGGAGGAGCTTTGTTTGATATTCGTACTATCCTGAAATTTGATACTAAGGTCACTGTTGGTATCTGAGGTTAAGATATGTAGATTGTTTTGAAAGTGTGTGCTATAATTGTTCGAAAAGTACTTAATTGAACTATATTTGGTATTGAGTGAAGGGATGGAGCTGAAACTGTGAAATTTTATGTTGCGATGACAGCTGGTGTGTAGGATTGAGATATGGCCATGTTTTGCAAATAAGTACTAAAATTGGGTGAATGTATAGGCCTGGAATCCCGAAATTTGATATTGATGTCTGTGTTAGTATCTGGTGTTGAGATCTGGTGGTTGTTGTGCAAATGCCTGCTATTACTGTTCGAAAAGTTCTAAATAGTATTAAATAATGTAGGGTATAAGTATTAATAAACAGGTGTCCTGAGAGTATTACAACCCAACTATTTTCAATTGTAGATTTTTTCAATCGTGGAATTCAAAAAAGTTTTGTCGTACATTTTTAGAGACATTTTTTCTGTCGTGGATTTTTGAAATACATTTTTATCTGTGGGTTCTTTTTCCTCATAGTTATACATATAAATGGCTTTCTCTTAACTTATTTCGCAAAACAAAACAAAGGGACAGTTTCCATTTTTATTATTAAAACAAAATTATTCTTTTTTACAAAAATCAAATACAACAATTATTTTCATTGTTGCCTGAATCATCTTCCTTCATGGATTTTCCCATCGTCAAATGACCTTTCTTGTTAGTCTCGTTTATCCCGACTAAAAAAGGTGATACGACGATATCTTTGTATGTCAACAAACCTGACATAATACACGCACAACACCAAAAAAAAAAAAACAAAAACAAGATTGAAGAGAAAAAATACCTGCTTGTTAGAAAGAGATAGCCACACTACTTAAATATGATAAACATATGATGCGTTTATGAAAGATAAGTGGTTAGTGTAACAGGTCATAATTCTTATCAGGCATTTAAAAAAAGAGAATTCTGTGGTGTCAAAGAAAACATTATTGTTATCCAAAACCAAAAAACCACTCACTTGAATAGTTAGTCTAACAAACGCGACCTTTTGGTAAACATTGGTGGTGTTTTTTCGGTCGTGAGCATTCTAACGATTCCGTGTTTGAAGTTTTTTTTTTTGTTTTTTGAAAATTAAATAATATGAATACATACATGTTTTAAATAATCAAATAATACAACATGTAAATGTCGAAAAAATATTATTTATCAATGGAAAATTCTTAAAAGTAAATAAAGAAATCGCAGTATTTTTGTGTATAAATTGTGTTCTTAATAAGAAAATATTGGTTCTTGTGTGATCAAGAGTTAAAAAAATATCATTAATTATCGCAACAAGAAAGAGATTCGTTCATTATAAATGTGAAATTTTGTACAATTTTTTTTTCAAATTTTAAATTAAAATGTATATGTGTGTGTTTTGTGAAATTAGTGAAAAGAAAATTGAATAATAATGCAACTCTATCAAGTACAAATTAAGTAAATCTTGAGCCGTGTCTTTTATTCTCTCCAATATGAGGGAAAGCATGTTTTAAAGTTTAACAAAATGAGTTCAATTAGCAAAATGTCCCGCAAAGGAAAGAAAAAATAGAATTACAGAAAAACATTCAATCAGTGGGGAAGTGACAAAATTCGATCTGAGATTTCTATATGATATTGTAGATCAACTGGATGTTAAGATGTATGAGTCGAATAACCTATTTAAAGGTATTGCCACAAACTGCGTCCTGCATTACAAAAGGCGTAAACTAATTCGTTATTTCTTAAAAAAATTCAAAGAAAGATAACTAAGTAGTGGTTAACTTTGGTCCAAAGTTTGAGACTTAGACTCGGAATTAGCAAACGAAGAAGAAATAAAAACAAAATACAATGGGTTGTTGACGTATTGCATATTGTGTAGTTTTTATACCCTAGTAGCTGAACCCGGTGCGCTTCGCTACCCCTTTTGATTTTATATGCATTCCAAATTTTATTTACGAATATATGTTGGTTTAAAAAAAACAAATTTAAAAATTAAAAAAAATTATTGCACTACTTTAAGGCGTAAATAACCAAAACCATTAGAAAAGCAGTAACATGACATACATACACGAAAGGTTTGTCCTTCGGATTTATTTATTTCATAGCAAATACCGAGCGTGCAGTAAACTGCAATCTTTTGAAGTTGAGTGGCATTTCTATTGCAATTAGTGGATTCGAGATAGCAACATACTTCGCCGTAATAAGCGTATTTCAAATCAATTGTTGTGTTGTTTTTTAGTGTTAGCCTAAGGCGTTGTGGGTCAATGCTTCTTATTAAAATCATATCCCAATCTGATCCAATTTAAATATAATTTAAAAAAAAAAACTTTTACACCAAATTCCGCCACACCTTTCATATTTCATTGAAATTGGTGCGTCAAATGTGTGAAATCGGCCGATAATATATATATGGGAGCTATATCCAAATCTTAACTAATTTCCAATTAATTTGTCACATTTATTATTGTAACCAAATTCCGCCACACATTCTGAATTTCATTGGTATCGGTCATATATATCATGTTTGGTGCATAACATGTATGAAATCGGCCGAAATATATATGTTAGCTATATCCAAACCTCAACTGATTTCAATATAATTTGGCAATTTTTTCTGGTGCCAGATTTTGTCTCTCTCGCTTTGGGTGCATCAAATATGTGAAATCGGCTGAGTATATATATGGGAGCTATAATCAAATCTGAGCGTATTTGATTATAATTTGTCAAATTTATTTTTGTACCAAATTTAGCCACTCATGCCGAATTTCGTTGGAATCGGAAATACGGAGGAAAATATATATGGGAGCTATATTCAAATCTGAACCGATTTCAATTTAATTTGACAAATTCATTTCGGCTCCCAATTCCGTTACTTATTTTAAATTTCATTACAATTGGAAATACATATCGTGTTTGGTCCACCAAATACATGAAATCGGTCGAAAATATATATGGGAGCTATATCCAAATCTGAACCGATTTCAATTTAATTTGACAATTTCATTTTCGGATCCCGTAACACATTCCAAATTTGTAGAGAGGTGGAGCTGAAACTGTGAAATTTTATGTTGCGATGACAGCTGGTGTGTAGGACTGAGATATGGCCATGTTTTGCAAATAAGTACTAAAATTATACGAAAAGTACTAAATGGTACTAAACTTGGTATTGGGTTAATGTATAGACCTGGAATCCCGAGAGTTGATATTGATGTCTCTTTTAGTATCTGGTGTTGAGATCTGGTGGTTGTTGTGCAAATGCCTGCTATAACTGTTCGAAAAGTTCTAAATAGTATTAAATAGTGTAGGGTATAAGTATATAATCAGTCTTGGATTTTTTTAAAGAAAATTATCTATTGTTAACAATCTTTTTTCAATTATGATTTTTTTTGCATTTTTTTCAACCATAGTTTCGTTAAAAGAAAACATTCAATTTTTAAAAATATGTTATTATTATAGACGAGTCAATCAGTTGGTTGCTTAAGTCTGTAGATTGTGCATTACATTGTTTTTGATCTATGATTTTATCTAACATGTATTAACCAACATTTCTTACCATTTCAGAATACAACCTGCAAGGGCATCATTGCTTTACTTAAAATAAAATAATTTTCCAAAGGTAAGTAGGCATTCAAACTACAAATAGTTTGAAATAAAGTATTAAAAATAAGAATCCTGATCTTCTGTAAGCCACGATTTACCAGCTATTTGTTTACAGCTGCTTTACTTATCTTTTTTGAGGTATTCATTAGAGTTTCCATAGTTCTATTCGCTGTCCTATACTTCTTGTGCTCCCCAAAATGAAATTCATTGCAAGACATAAATTTGGATTATTGCTCATCAGTTGGATTACACAATCAATGAAATTCCCCTCAATGTAATCTCAAAATAAAATCGTTGATAATTTTAATGCTAATGCATTTGATTAGGGGTTACAATTTGTTTACATTTTCTTTTTCTGTTTTTTCATGGCAAAAGCCAACAATTTTTTAAATATTTCTTCTTCGTTGGCTTGACAGCGTCGTGATCTGCCTACTGATCCGCCTCCGTCGTCCAATTCTTCTGCTTCATCTTTTCAAGCTTTTCAAGCAAAAAAGAAAAACAAATAATGAAATGAAAATGGATTTCGATGTTTAGAGACAACAATTATGTTTACACAAGAAAATTAACTTTGCCATGTTTTTGGAAATCAACCCCTCTCCCCACTCCCACACACAACTCCCTCATCCAAAATAGAAAATAATGGAAAATCTACAGTTACAAAATGCCGAATCAACAACTAACAAAATTGCTACTCATCCGTTAAGGTAATGACTTTGTCCAAATCATGACTACTGCGATTTTGTTGCTATTTCTTTTTTTTTTTAATTTCTGCAATCATACAATTTGTTTTAGGTACAAAACAAAGTTAGTTTAACTAAAGTCATCTTGGGCTCACAATGACAAATTATAGGCAACGTAGAGAGGTAATGTTAGATTGAAGAGATAGGAAGACAATTTTTGGGAAAATAGAGAAATAAAGCCAAAAACCAGATTATTGCCCAGCAAAACGTAATGTTAAAAAAAAAAAAAAACATTCTGCATTACCAGCAGATGGAAAATAGTGGGCTGTATCTCAAAAAGTAACTTTTTCTCTCATTACCAAGTAATGACTAACGAAGCCTTCCAATTTTGATGGACATCGGTCAATATTTAGTGGGTGACATAGACTATAACATTTGTATTAATCAAAAGTCAAACTTTGCATTAAACCGCGAATATTTTTAGTCACGACGAAATCACAAAAAGACGAACAGGTCAATTCTGACCGTTACGTAGATGCCGATAGTAAATATATCGGATATATATAGCGAAATATATACAATGTGTATAAACAAAGGAAGGGGATGTTAGCTAAAATGCTTATATCTCAAGAATGGGTGGACCGATTATGACAAATTTTGTCAATTCTGAATGCCCTACTGGCATTAAAGAATAAAATCTAAAAAAAATCGTCTAAAAAGATGCCAGTATTGATGTTTATACAGATGCGTGCGATTTGTTCAATTTGACTTTTAATATTGAGGTGTACATTTTGTAATATTTTTTCACCTTACAACACAATTATTGCAATTATTATCCGATCCTCACGAAAATTTTCACAAGGGTAGGGTAAGGCTCAGAAGGGATAGACCTATTGGTTTTAAAGATGTCCGCAATATATTGGAGGTTGAAATGGACCAACAACTAAAAATATTCCTGATTTTGCAGCCTTTATAAAGGTCACAAATTGAAACCAAAGGACACAAAATCTCGCATGAAGTTCGAGATTAGGACAGCGAGTAGAATGGACCACTACTTTTGTGTGAAAAAATACCAGAATTACTTACAGGCGATATCTGAAATACACATTGAGCAAAAATCCTTGGACAGGTCAGTGCCCCGTGACATAATTTTAAAAGAGAAATCTTCCAAATTCGATGTGAATATAAGGGGGCTTCTAACATATTGCAGTGTTGTAGGGTATCACATGGTCGGCCCCGCATGACTATAGCCTTTGCTTACTTGTTTAAGATGAAATTTTGCAAACAATATTTGTTTGACGCAAGGATGAACCCTATTGAAATTGGTGATAATCGAATCAGATTTTGATATAGCTCCCATATATTTTTAACCTATTTCGAAATAACCCGAATTTTGGCACATACAACCGAACGCAGTGTAGAAGCAAGTACATCAAATTTGGTGAAAATCGGTACAGATATAGCTATAGCTCCATATATATGATTCATCCGATATGGTGTTTAAGTTCCCCTTATTCGCAATATGTACCCCAAAACAATGATGTTTGGTATCAGATACAGCTCAGAAATACCTCTGCCAGATTTGGATGTAGCTCCCATGTATATCTTCAACCGATTTCGGATTAATTGTGCACCAAATGGCTAATATCAGTTCAAATGACCTGAATGTTGGCACGACCTACCGAATTCAGTTTAGAAGTGAGTACTTAAAATTTGGTGAAAATCGGTTCAGATATAGCTGTAGCTACCGTATATATGTTTCATCCGATTTTGTGTTTATGTCCCCCACATTCGTAGTACGCATTTGACAACAATGATATTTGTTACCAGAAAGAAGAAGATGATTTTAAGGTGCTTCTATATATTAATGTTGTTTAGAAGGTCTTCCTTCTTGTAGACCATTGGGTTATTCTGTTATCAGTAGAATTCCTTCTTCGTCTCTCCTGCCTCGTTCATGAAAGGTTTTGAATATAAAGAGGATTTTTGTTGAATTTCATAGCTGATTACTTTCTTTCAATTTCTATGCAGCCCTGCACAAGGAAATTCAATTTTTTCCAATTACAAGGAAGCCCACTTGCATCAGGAGGTAATCAAAATAGGGCGAAGAAGTTCCGAGTTTCAATGAAGTATTTGCATTTTAGGTATATAGTGTCTTTGGCAATATTATTAGCAGCAATCTGGGGAAAATTTCTGCAGAAGAATTTAACCCTCATTTGAGTCTTTAAATTTTTACTTTAAATTTTCACTATTTGTAACGCCTCTAAATCTACATTTTAGACCCCACAAAGTATATATCTTCTTGATCAGCATAAAATTATATGTCGATTTAGCGATGTCCGTCCATCTGTGGAAATCACTCTAGATTCCGAACGAAATGAAGTAGATTGATAAAATTTTATTCAAATGCATATTATGTCTGCAGGACTTTTGGTATTGAAAATGACCCATATCTACGTTGTGGTATAGCCCTCATATAATGGCACCTCCCTATTTTCGGTATTTTGATAATTTAAGCGACATCATTCATCGGCATTGATTCAAATTGGATATTTGAAGTTCGCAATGTGCAGGTCCACGACTTCGTATAGTCAGCCCATATAACGTTACCTCCTCATATTCAGCATTTTGATGATTTTAGGGACATAATTCACCGGAATTGTTTCATATTTCGTATTCAATGTTTGTAACGGGTACCTATAGAAAATTGTCTGTGCAGGCCCACATCTTCGTATAGCTCCCATATAACGTTACCTCCAGATATTCGGTATTTTAATTATTTTAGCGGCATCATTCACCTGAATTGTCTCAAATTTGGTATTTGAACTTCGTAATGGATACTACAGCCTATGACAGAAAATTTTCTGTGCATGTCCACGTCTTCATATAGCAGCACCTCCCTTTATTCGGTATTTTTTATGATTTTAGCGAGATTATTCACCGGAATAGTTTCAAATTTGATATTTAAAGTTCGGAATCGGTGCTAAAGGAAGAAAATATCTTATGCAGGTCCACGGAATTGTTTTTTTTAATTTTCAAGTTCCTTACAAATGGTGGAGGGTATTCCAAATTTGGCCCAGCCGAACAGATCTGCTTTTTACATATTGTTTTTTATACCCTCCACCATAGTATGGAGGGTATATTAAGTTTGATATTCCGTTTGTAATACCTCGAAATATACATTTTAGACCCCACAAAGTATTTACATTCTTGATCAGCATAAAATTCTATGTCGATTTATCAATGTCCGTCCGTCTATCCGCCTGTCCGTTTGTGGAAATCACTCCAGCTTCCGAACGAATATTCGGTATTTTGATGATTTTTGCGACATTATTTACCGGAATTGTTTCAATTTTGGTATTTGAAGTTCGTAATGGATACTACATCCTAAGACCGAAAATTAGCCATGTAGGTCCACGCCTTCGTATAGCCTCCATATAACGGTACCCCCCGATATTCGGTATTTTGGATGATTTTTGCGACATTATTTACCAGAACTATTTCAAATTTGGTATTTGAAGTTCGTAATGGATACTACATCCTAAGACCGAAAATTGTCTGTAGGGGTTCACGTCTTCGTATAGCCCCCATATAACGTTACCTCCCGATATTCGGTATTTTGATGATTTTAGCGACATTATTTACCGGAATTGTTTAAATTGTGTTTTTGAAGTTCGTTATGGACGCTACAGCCTATGACAGAAAATTGTCTGTGCAGGTCCACGTCTCGGTATAGCCCCCATATAACGCTACCCCCGATATTCGGTATTTTCATGATTTTAGCGACATTATTTACCAGAATTGTTTCAAATTTCGCATTTGAAGTTCGTAATGAAAATTGTCTGTGCAGGTCCACGTCTTCGTGTAGCCCCCATATAACGGTACCCACCGATTTTCGGTATTTTGATGATTTTAGCGATATTTTTTCACCGGAATTGTTTCAAATTTGGTATTTGAAGTTCGTAATTGCTATTACAGCCTATGACAGAAAATTGTCTGTGCAGATCCACGTTTTATAACCACCATGGTACCTCCCTATATTCGGTATTTTGATGATTTTAGCTACATTATAAACAGATTTTTTTCGAATTTCGCAGTTGAATATTGTAATAGCTTGTGACAAAAGTTGCCTATGCAGGTCCACGTCGTCGTATAGACTCAAATATACTGCTACATTAGGTATTTTCAAGACTTCAACAGAATTTTTAACGGATTTTATTATTATTATTTTTTTTTTTTTTTTGAAAATTGTTAAATTTGTACCAAATGGTATGTCTGAACTGGCGATTTTCTGATTGATAGTCGGGCACTCGATGCTCTCAGCCAGTGCTAGCAATAT